GGCCTTTCCTACCAGTGCATTTACTGTATAATTGGGTTGAAAAATGTATTGACTGAGTCCACAGGTTTTCTTTTTTTTCTTTTCTTTGAGATTCCTTTGGGGAATCTTTAAATTGAGAGGCTTTGACATCATTAGTTATTAGTTTCTTCTTAATACTGTGTTACTCTAGGTTTACACACTATTCCTTTTTTGTGTGGGAAATGGAACTTGTGTTTATCTCCAGTCTATAGGAAACTTCTGGGCATAGGAAAACCCTGAATTCCTACCGCATCTCTGCTTTGTTCTGACTTGTGAGGCATGCAGCCTTTGGTCATATGTATCCAACCATCTCCTAGCATCAGCCACACCTTGCAAAAACTTGTAGTTATGGCTGTTCCTTCCCAACCAAAAGAGATGGATGAGATGTTAAAAGCATCCTTTGGCTAATTTGCTGCTAAAATTTCAAGGGTGTGGTTGAGAGGATGTAAACATTGTCTCAGCATCTGTGTTTCCCCTTTGTTTGGTATTTGCAACAAGGTTTTAACTAGTAAGGCTCACTTTTGCAGGCTACTAATGAGGCTTTTTCTGTTTGTGAGGCCTATTCAACAAGTGTAACGCAAATCTGAATTAAAGTTGAAATCTGCAGGGGGCAATTATATGGGCAAGGGCAGAGATAAACTTGCAGAGTGAAGTGGATGAAGGATGGCACTAGGCTCTTTATCTCGTCGGTTACTACAAAGATTCAGAAACATGACAGTTTCTGCTAGAGAGGAGTTTAGGAATGAATGCAGTGGAAAGAGGGAGACCCTCCTGACTATCCAGTTTTAAAGATTAGCTGGTCTGGATGCATATTGCATACAAGATCCAGTGTTTAATTTGTGCAATGGCGATGTAGTGACATGAATGACAGTGTTGGTGTAGGAAATTAATTCAAAAAAAGTCTGTCACAGTTCCAGAAATTTTCATGTAGCAAAATTCACTGTCCCATGAGATGTTTTTCACAGCTGCTTTTTGATTTTTTTGAATAACACTTAAAATTGTGCATAGTACTGTTCTTTAAGCTATACTACACAGTATTTGCTGCCACTTTGCCTTTAAACACTGAGAGACTTAATGAATACGGTATTTACTTCTACTAGCAAACTTTGTGACTAACATGTTTGGATCCAATTTTATTTTTAGTAGGAACAAAGCAACCACTGATTTTTATGGAAGCAGGATTGAGGTTTTTATGTCAGTGATAATAAACATATTATCTGGAGTTCAAACACCCTTCAGTTAAAATGCAGCTACTGTGAAAGCATATGGAATGGTCATAATTGCCTTTTTTTTTTAGCAACATTAGAAAGACATGAAAAAACATTAAAAAGGCAGCATCTATAAAAATGTGGTACATAAATGTGGTTTAATTCCAGATTGCTGTTCGATTTAAGTATTATCAAATTTCAGTATACTCCTGCCTTATGTTAAAGAAATATATTACTTAAGCTTCAGAACACAGTAATGTATGCTGTCCTAGAGGAGATTTATTTTTGCAGGATATGGAATGCAATGAAATGAATCAATATGGTGAGGTGTATGTGATCTCTGGGAGTTAGATCATTTAATATAGGAAATGCATTGTTCTTGTGCACAAGCTATACCACAGTGCAGTGCAAGGTAAGACAGATTTCCTTTTATTGCTCTTAGAAGATGCTAGTAAGGGCTAGAATTGAACCCTCCAAATCTGGTTCAGTCTGGTGATGATCGTGACAGAGGAAATGTGGCAGCTGAGCACAATGTATAGAATAATAGAATATTTCTGTATGTTTAAATTTTGCACTGTCTAGATGCTTATAAAAGCTGGATGCAAACTGTGTAGAAATAGCAAACTATATTTTCTTATATCTCTATTTTACTCAGATGTTTAAATAAGGTACCTTAAAATCATGTAAGTCACACATTATTTATATATACTATATATATATAAAATTGCACATGTTTTTTATATATATATACGTACACACACATATATTATTTGAGTATAATTTTAGCCTTCTGTACCTTTATAATTACTAAAACCTGTCCATAAGAGGGTTCAATACTTTTAAGAAATCAAATATACATTTTTCAAATCAAATTTGTTTTCATATATTTGCTGTACACAAATATAAAATAAATTTCTTTATAAATAATTATGGTCTGCTTCCTTATTTATCTGTTTTTATGTCACATTTCTGCATCCTTCACTGCAGGATGTCTTAGAGAACTGCTTTTACTTTGCTTTCCCCTAACTTACTGTGAGTATTATATATACAGTTGCCTTATCTCCAGCAGGTTTCTGGCAGGGTCACAATACTGCAGGGTACCAGGTATCTGTGCACCTATCAGCTTTCAGGAGACTATCACAAACACCCAGGCCTCGGCAGAGCAAGGAAATGTATAGAGAAAGGCTAAACTTTAACTTAGCAGAAGTTTTAGCCTCTTCCAAAAGATTCAGTGTGGGATGTGGTAAGTTGCAGGCAAGCATGTCGTAGGAGCCCTGCAGTGCCCAGGCTCCATCTGCAGTGGAGAAATGTAGCTGGCAAGTTGGTTTCTGCTGAAGTTTCATCTCCAAGGATGCAGGTTTGGAGTACTACTGCACAGGCAGCAGGTTATTGCCACTTGGTAAATCAGCCCTGCAGCAGGTTTAAAAGATAAGTGTAAGGGAGGGGTATAGGAGGCTGTGTTTAAGCTGGCTTCCATGTTTATGTTTGTGGAAATCAGAGAGTTACATTGAAATTAAATCCCTTGCGTATTGTTCTCAAACATTGCCAAGTGTCTAGATGACACACTACACACCTGTTTACAAGTTTAATATGATCCCTCTTAGTCCAGAAATTAATCCCTTAATTAATCCGTGTCCCACCCATCCACTGTACATTCCTCTCAAAACTGTAGTAGTTTGATATGTCTTAAATGAGGTACTAACTTGTACCCACTAAAAGGAGATGCAGAGCTCGATGCCCCGTGCTGGCTTTGCCCTGTGCTCCCAGCACAGCCTGGCCAGTCTGTCAGCACCCAGAGGTGCTGTGCTGAGGCACACCTCCAAAGGCATTCATCCTTTTGCTGGTGGTCCTGGCAGCAGACATGGGGCATGGCTCTGTGCTCCAGTCTAGCTCAAGGCAGGCTGTGTCTTGCAGTGCATAGCGTGCAGTTTTTCTTAACACACGTGTACTCCACCACTTCAAAACCAGAGAAATTTCTAGTAAGAGACACTCTCCCAGCTGCTCCTGGTGCTCCCCAGGGTGTCCCAGCCACAGGGTGGGAGAAGCAGTGGTGGCAGGATCAGCTACACAAGGCCAGTTAACCATCTGCTTTGAGATTCTCTTGTTGCTGTAGCTTTATGCCTTCCATATATAAAAGGCACTTGAACTGTAAGCCTTTTTCACAAGCTCTATCAGGTCTCATACACTGAAACAAAACCCCAGTGTGTCTATATGAAGTACTCAAAACTTACCACGGTGACTACAGCACAAAAATAAGACAGCATCATAAGTCAGGGTTTCTGTTGGGGTGGCAGCAAAGAATGCATTGTCACAAACATGATGCCAAGTGTGGATGCGAATGTTGGTACTCAGTTGTACTGAAAGGTCTCACTCTTATTTCAGTTGACCTTGTTTTGTAGTCCATTTACCCAATCGAATTTGTGTTAGACCTTCTCTGACAGAATTTGGGCGTCATTTTTTCTTACCGTTCATTCTGTTACAAAATGTCTGTACTAATATCACTGCACAGCCTGCAGTCCTCTTGTCCTTTATCCATGGTCTGGAAGGGAACGGGAAATAAGGATGAAAACAAAACAGGATGTTTGCACTTTCTTCATTACAATCAATGATTTTATAGATATACCAACTTTTTAATAGAATGAATGGCAGAGTATTCAATGGCACCAGAAGCAAATTTATCAGCTTCCTAGTTCAGTATGACAAAATGTTGCTTAGCACACAGGGGAACTGGACTAATACTTCTTGTTTTATTGACTATTAAAATGAGGCCACCTACAGGTCCCACAATAAACCTGCAAAAATGTCTAATCCTGCATATGTGAAGACCTGCATTCCAGTGTTCCTTGCTCCCACTTTGTTGTAAAGAGGAGTCATGCACCACAGGGCTTGACTGGGCTTTTCAGACCAAAGCCATGACAGCAGCCAGCAACTGTCTTCCTTTTACAGTCACTTTAAAAAACACAAAGGTAAGGTAATACCTGCAAACATACCCCAGTGAAATCACTGGAATAGCCAAACCCCAGGCAGTGTAGACAGGTGACACTCTGATATCCCTATACACAGGCTACCAGTGTAGTATTAAGTGCACTAAACAAAAAGGTGTCCATTGCGTCCACATACTTTTGGGATCAGGACCCACTTGAGCAGCCCAAATTAAGCAGGAAAAATACAGAAGCCTTCCCCAAAGACCTCCTAGGACTTGTAACCAGTTTACTCGGACATTTTGCTTAGCCAATACAGCTAGCAGAAAAGAGAAACAGTTATAGAAAAGACGACAGGCTTCCATTTTCAAAGTCCTGTTTTTCTCTTGTTAGACACCTTGCAAACAGTTAAGACATTTCACTCTGCAGATGTCTTGGCCAGTGCATGCTCAATTTTTGCTCTTTGTAGTTTTCCAGACAATGGTACATTATTATTTTCTTTTCACTGTGGAATAAAAGCTGTCTAAATTATTGCTTCATCTTGGCTTAGACCTTGTACTTCTCACTTCTTGTATGCTCAGCTGAAAGGAGTATCTGTTCCCCAAAATACAAACAATCGCCCATTGGCAATATAAGAACCATGACAAGTGGTATGTGCCCACCTGCTGGGAAAAGTAGCAGTTCTTTGGAAAAGCAAATAAAGTACATCTTTGTTGACCTCTTAGAGAGGACAAGTTGATTTTGTGTGTGGGCTGGTTAATGTTCATGTTTTTCCAGTCTGCCCTAAAGCCCTTGTTCTTACATTTCCACTATTGTCTTGTCCAGTTTGCAACTTTATTTTTTTATGTTTCATAGAAACACAAACATCTGGAGAACATCCCCAGGTAAACTGCTGGGCAGTGCAGAAAATATCTGGTGTGATCTGAAACAGCTTTTTCTTCCCATGAAAGTAAACCTCCGGGACTGGGAAATTTCAAAGGTCAGTAATGGTGTAGAGATCCTTTCACCTCCAGAACTCCACTTCACTTTTGCCCTAGGTCTGTAACAGCCAGCATCCCTGGTGATTTCTTAGTTGTTCACTGATTTTTTTTTTTTTTTTGTGAAATTAGTTGGTGCTGGGACGAGTTCACAGAAATCACTGAGTCAATGATGCTCAATGAGTCTGCTGAGGAGATTGAATTCATTGCTGTAAGAACAGTTGGTTTCCATCTAGGGATCAGTCAGGAGATGGAAGGGCACATGGAGGGTGGGAAAAGAGAAAGTGGAACTTGGATTTTTCCCCATGCTATTTGCACCTCTGATTCACCTCAAACTGCATGGATTTCCATCATGGAAATGGAAATTTCCACCCTTTAAGATCACATTTAATTCAGGACAATCAAAATAACACAGACTTGTGAAACCCTATAAAAGTAGATCCTAATTCTTAACATCATTCTGGAACGTGTCTAACATCACTTACTTTAGTGAAACAAAGTTCCTATAAATCTGAAGTGATGGAAAGAGCTACTGGGAAAGGTATCTCAACGTATTTGAGATAAAATATTTGCAAGAATCCTTAAAATCTTTGACAGGAAGACAAGACCTTTGGAAAATCCTAGTCCCTGAAATAACTAGTTCAGAGAACATAAGTCCTAAAAGCCATGGACCATATTCTCAAAAGAGAGGTCTGTACCACCAAAGCCCGCACTGCTGACTCCTCAGTGAGCCTCTCTGCATGCACTCCCACTGCTCTGTTTTCATGCATTCCATTACATGCTGCAGAAGGTAGCTGCAATCACAGTATTTTCATACACTTTTGCTGGTTGAGCCATGTCTTACTGGATTTGGAGAAAGGTGATCATTTTATCTTGTTCTTAGTTTGAACAATTTCTAGGGGAAAAAATCCAAACAGCTTTCCCCCCACCCCCGAAAGCTGAGAAAAGTCCAAACAGTATTTGGAGTTTGTTGTCATTATGTTGTCAGCTTCAGCTCTGTGGGCTACCACCAGTCCCAGCAGTCACCAGTGACCATGAATTCAGCATTCTCTGTTGATAAATTACAATTTTATCTTTGTTTGGCTAGGGCTTTTAGTAGCCTGCCAACTCAAAACCATTGCCTAATATATCATTAGAGGGCAAATATGTTCCTGTGTATGTCTGTGGCATACAAGCAGCTCCTACCACAGCCTGGACATTCCAGCATCCTGCTGAGGAAGGAAAGCAGTGCCTCAAATAATTTAGGCTGCAGATTTTTCTTTTAAAATAAAATATTTTTTTGTTTTGCAAGGTCAGACACTTGGGGCTGTTCAGGACACAAGACGCCAGAAACTGTTTACTTTGGGAAACAAGGACATCCACGGTGGGAGGTGATTTTAGCAGCAGCCAAATCTGGTGTTTTAAACCAAACAGAAGCCTGGGCAAAGGGCACCTTCACTCATCCTTACTGACACCATGACATCAAGGGAGACTGTCCAAGAGCTGACTGATGCACATGCAGCAGGGATGATATTGGTATTCTCACTTGTGAGCTCAAGTACCTCAAAGCATTTGGGAGATCTCAGATGAGAGGAATAAATATTTTGTGTTGACTGCAGTCAGTGTTCACAGTGGAAAGTGATTTCTTGAAAGGTCTAGACAGTGCCCAGTAGTGGGTTTTATCTAAAAGCCACTTTTGGTCACAGTGTGGTAGCATTTTTCCTACACCCAGACGCAAAGTGAGATGGTAGGTTTTCCACTTTCCTTTGGGTATTTTATTTCATCTTTCAGTTGATTCAACCATTCAGGCTATGGAGATTTCTAAAAATCAGATTTTCTTCTCAGTCACCAGTAGAAAACAAGAAGAAATTATTCTTTGATAAGTTAATATTGGGTGGCAAGAAAAAAATTTTGATAGGTTGCTACTATGAGTACAAATGGAGGCACTTTTAGATACAGTTTTGCATCCCTGTGAATGGCATTGCAGGGCTGAGGCTGACCAAGTGGGATGCACAGCTTTGCTCCTCCTTGCTAACTGGCCAAGCCTGCTCTGTCTCAGAGTACAGGAACTGTCTTATCTGTGGACAGCTCGCCTGAAAAGGCATGGTCTCCTATACCTTATCAAATCCACTCTGGAGAAAGCATCTGTCTCCAGGCATTCCCATCCCTCACTGGGTGGCCATGCACATGTTCATATATACTGTTTAAAAATGTATGCATCTTTCTGAATGTGGATTTCTTTCCATCCTAGATTTTACACCACAAACCACAATTGCCATAGATAACTACTTTACCTCTGTGAAGACATTTGTTTCCTGTTGATTTTTAATTAGTAGATACATTCCATTGGTCAAGTTAGAGGGCAAAAAATAAAATTAATTTTACAGGATTCAGCCTATTCTTAGCCAGTGTGGTATTTAGAAATGTTAAACTGCAGTAAAAATCCACATCTGTATGGACTCACCTAAAGTTTCACAACAGCAGTGAGAATAGGGCACAGGGCTTCCTATTTCAAATGTCTTCAAAACATCCCTTCAAAGAATCTCTATTAGGTGTTAGGAGTGGAACCCGGGGCATCCAGTTTCACAGTTTTGACCATTTAAGTGAGATGAATAGAATAGGGTTGGTTTCAGAAATGCACTGTGAATGGATTACTGTTTTAGCCCTGAAAATACACATTTCTTCCAGCAGTATAAAAGTGAGGGGACTGTTTATGCCACCAGTGTAGGAAACACACATCTCTTTTCTCCAGTGACTAAAGTAGACTAATGAGAGCTATCAAACTTGCTGATGACTGAAGGAAAGTCTTTCAGTGCCTCACACTGGTAAAATCTAAGCATTTTCTGTGGCTTTACATGAAATTGACACCAGTGTGGAAGAGAGACAAATAGCAGTCAGCATCAGTGTACCACAATAGTCCATGTGCTCTTTATGGCAGCAAGTGAAATTTGGAGAGGCAAGTTCTGCAACCCCAGGAGGCAACTACATGAACCACCAAAGGCATACCCAGTTACCTTGAGCCTAATACAGCAGATATGTTCAAATTAACTACATTTGAAACCACTGCTATTCCAGACAGAAGAAGGAGTATGAACTCTGCAAGGAAGCAGAAATGGGCAAAATGGCAGAGCTGAGCCACTGGTCCAGGGACCAGTGCTATGAGGACAGGTTGAGAAATTGCTCATACAGGCAGATCCCAATGAGTCACTGACTTCTGCTTTCCGAATGCCTCCTGGCCAATGCATATTTTCAATGTATTTGTGATTATATAGAGATAAATCTGAACTCCATTCCACTCAATTAATAGCTTGTCCTTATCAAGGTCTGTGGGCTGGGCAGTCAGCTGTTGGAGACCTGTAAAAGAGTAAGCCTGGGATTGTCCACAGGCTGGTGCTCAGAGATGCCTTTGAATCACCTTGGGCAACCACTATTTTTAAAAAGACAGACGTTACCTAAGAATATTTATATTTTGAGAGAAACCAGATAACTGGGGACAAAATTCTCACCTTCAGTTCACAAAGAGTTTTCATGCCTGAGATTGTATTACAGCTTCGAAAATTCACAGCAAAGGTTCCAGGTTTGTTTGAAGACATGCATGAAGAATTATATGGTGAAACATTTCATTCTGGCTGTGAAAAAAGTTAATTCAAAACAACTAAAACATCAGCCATAAAGATGTAGAACATTTTTCAGGAAGCCCTGTCCACCTTGAACTAATGTTTTTTTAAAAAACAGCCTGCCTGTAATAATCACTGTTATTGAAAAGACATCCCAAGGTTGCTGTATGGAAATATGTTAAATACGTTCTGAAATCCAATCTAATATAATTTCAACATTAGAGCTCATTCATAATCCTCTATTAAAAGCCTATGCAATTTTCATTAAATATGTCTGTCTGTGTAATCATGAATGCTGAATATTGTCATGGCTTTCCAGGAATTTTCAGCTTCAATGCAGAAGAAAGAAAACTCTTCCAACTGGACTTCTACACCACTGAGAAGAAATAACAATAACAGCTCTAAATGTAAAATAAACATTTCTGGAAAAATACTATCTTTTCAAAGAGGCTGTAGTCTGAATTTCAAGCTACTAGTAATATGACACAGAGGCTTCGAATGTGCCTGTGGTTACAGCTCCTTGCTTTGTGTGGCACTGGGGACAAACAGTCCCAGCAGAAAGGAATCTGTTTACTCACGCCTAGATTTAGAAAGTGATTTTTCAGATGGAGTTGTCTTAAACCTGGTGGATATTCCTGCTTTGAATTGCTAGTTTACAACTGGATGCAGCTGTTACTGTGATCAAGTGTTGCCAATTCTTTCTAATTGCACAGCACCTCAAATGCATGGGTGGAAAATTAAGAGAAATTTTCAGCATCACCATGTGTCTGATGTGAGTACACTAGCTGCTTCTCAGGAATTTCTCTGTGTTTATAATTTTATAAAGAATCAAAGCTTATAAAGTAGCACTTGGATATACAGAAGGGGTGAGGAGTGGGAAAATTCTTCTTCTCTCTCTAATGTTCCTATTCACTGATGGCTCTTTGATATTTTTCCTTTTTATGAGCAACCTTTTTTATTAGTGGAATATTTCTGGTTCCGTGGCATAACTTTTAAATGATAGGAAAAATTATACAACTGGGATCTCAATTATTCAGCACAGCCATTCTAATCCTTCATGTTATTTGATCCAGTACAAGGTAATATACATCTTATTTCCAATTAGAATACAATTCTCACTATATTCATCATCTATTGATGTCTGCTTTTCCATTTGCCAGAGACATGAAACTCTGTGATTCAAAGGGTGCCATTCAGCCTACCCTACCTGTGGACAATTATGTAGTGTCAGCAAGGCTGCCCTACTGTAGGTTTGATGCCTGTAGCCTAAGGCAGCTGGGAGCTGCTGTGCGCTTTCTTTCCTGCAAAATTTCTCACCAGCTGACAGCGTATTGCAGAAATGGTTCCTCCGTGCTTCCCCAGCCCAATGCCATTTGTATGAGCAATATTGCAGAGCACATTTGTTT